GCTGCCTTTGCCAGGGTCCTGCCTCGGGAGGTGGCAGGAAGGGGTGCCAGGAAGGGGTGCGGGGGACTAGGAGGGACTATAACCTCAGCTGGGACAGACACTGGTCTGTGAACCTCGCTGGGAGCGCTCGGCATCTGAGGGGGCCACTGAGGAAACAAATGTCTGAAGGCTCACCTGAGGGTACACGTGACCGTCGTGAGGGTGAGCAGCTCACGGCCAGGGGAAGGGGCAGCCGGCTCTCCACCAAGCGAGGGTCCAGCCTGCAAGCCTCTCCCGGCCAGGGAAGGCCTTGTTGGGACAGGGAATGGAAGGGGGGACTCCGGGGCCAGGCCACAGGGGGATTCCAGAGAAGGATTCACATTCTAAACGTGCTGCCAACCAGCTAAGAATCTGGGACGAGTCACTTCCCTTTGAGCTTCAGGCTCCTCCTCTGCACAATGGGGATGCCGGTGCCCACCTGGTCAGTGGACGGGGGTGGCCGTGAGACTGGGGTCCCAGAAGCCAGGAAGCAGGGCGGTTCTCCTGCCCCGCGCCCCTCGAGGGGTCTTCCTGGATCCCGCATGGTAGCAAACCCTACTGCACAGGGCACTTTGCTGTGCTTCCCAAGCTCAGTCCCACACAATCTTCACCGCCTCCGACGGCACAACCACGATTCCCAGCTTACAGAGGAGGAAACCGAGGTCCAGAGGGGTTAAGGGATAGCCAGCCATAAGGGGCGGGGCCAGAATTCGAACCCTGAACGCTACAACTGCTTCCACTCTCTCTTCACGAGAGTCCTCAGCGGTGGGTGCTGTTACCATCCCTATGTTAAAGGTGAGGAACCGAGGCACAGAGAGGCGAAGGGAACGGCTCGGGGGCTTAGAGCTTCTGAGGGGCAGAACCAGGACTCCAGCCCAGGCTGTGGCTCCCTGAGGGGGCTGGCCCCACACTCCGGGCCCCCTCCGGAGTGCTCGCCCACCCTGTGACCAGCTGGGGCACGGGCTCAGGTCCGGCACAGGTAGTGGCCTCTGCTCCTCTGGGCACTCCTCCCCAGGCTAGCGCTGGCTGGAGAGGCCTCAAGGCCGGTCACAGGCCAGCCTCAGAGTGACGTCCCCGCCCGGTGGCTGACGAGCCTCCCAGAAGCCAGTCTTGTGTGGGGAGAGCAGGCCAGCTGGGCAACAGCGTGCGTGCAAGGGGGACCAGAAGAGATACACCAACAGGCTCAACCGTTAGAAGCCGGATTCTCCCGGTGCCAAGGATGGCAAAAGAAAAAAAATATTAAAAAGCCGCACTGGATGCCGGGCCCTTCCCTGAGCCAGGGCTATTCTCAGCACCTGACGTGTGCTCACTCAGTCAATTCCCCCCAGCAACAGAGGGAGGAGGCTCACAGATTGTCCCCATTGCATAGACAAGGAGACTGAGGCCCAGAGAGGTCACTCAGCTGGAAGCTACAGGGAACCGGGAACCCAGGTCTCTCCAGCGCCCACCAGACCAGTCCTTGGCCCCGAGCTCTGCTCTCTCCCTCCAAACAGGAGGGCCACAGAGTCCGCACGAGGCGCGTTGGGACATGGGGAAGGCGGCAGCACCGGCACTCCATGAGCCCCCGAGTCAGGGCGCGGGCACCCACGGCTGGGCACGTTGGGTGGGCAGGAGTCACGACGCTCCCCCAGAGGTTGCCAGGCCCACAGTCCTCCTTCTGCACAGCGTGGGGGGCCCAGGCCCCTCCCGGCCAGTCCCAGCAGCCAACCCTGCCACATTCTGCCAGTATCCCCCACCACCAAGGGCACGGCCACACTGGGACTCGTCCTTCTGCCTTCGGGGTCCTGCTCTCCTGCCTTACTCTGAAACCAGCCATGTCCCCGAGGCGCTGACTTCCAACTTGGGTCACCGACAGAATGACTCGACTTCCCAAGGGTGGCTGCCTGGAGCCATGGGGAGACTGAGTTCGCCTCACGGAGAGCGGAAACAAAGACCCACAGCCCGGCGGACAGTCCTCAGCCTCGCCGGCCTCACCTCCTGGTCTCCACACCAGACTCACACCCACCTCAGGGCCTTTGCACAGGCTATTCCTTCTGCCCAGAGCACTTCTCCCAGACACCCACAATCCTCCCCACCTCCCTTCCTTTGGGAACGGCCCCATCAGCCGGTCTGAACTTACACACTCAGCCCCCACACCTTGGGCCTCCCCACCTCCCTCCTGCTTTGTGTTTCCCGGTGAACAGCACCATGGAAAAAACCCTGCTGATTTTTTTTCGTTGCACGGCTCACTCTCAGTTACTATCTGTCATCACCCAATGGGATGTCAGCTCCGGGGGCTGGGCTTCTGTCTGCTCGCTGCTGCCTGCGGCGGTGCAGAGAACACTGCCTGCACATAGTACGTGCTCAGCAAATACCGCCTCAATACGACTCCCATTTATAGATCAGGAGAATGGGGATCAAAGAGGTGGAACGGGCTGCTCAAGGTCAGAGACGCGGAAGACGCAGAGCCAGGATGCAAGCTCAGGCTCCCCGCTCCCCATTCCCAGCCCCCGCTGTCAGCCCTACACCAGGTCCCCCATGCCACAGCCCCCCGCCATGGCGCAGGAGGTCAGGCCTACCCAAGGGGTGGCAGGGCTGAGGTGGGTCTGGAGACCCTCAGAGGGGGCGCATCCCGGGCACGGCAGGGGGACCCTGCCCCAGGCACGCACACCCCGCCCAGGCCTTCCCAGACCCAAGCAGGGCGGCAAGCACCCACTCAGGCCTTGGGAACAAAGCGGTCTTTGTGGCTGGAGATTAGAGCAGGCCTCCCATCCTTCAGGCAGGACAGTGATCGTAAGGGAGGGGCTTCCTGCCCAAACCCGTGTTCAGGCCTACTGTGCGCCCCAGCCCTGGCCACGCGAGACAAGTCACAATTCCTTCCCGCAAGACCACCGGGGCTAATGGTGAACCGACAGGCTCCCAGGGGGAAAGGACCCAGGCAGCAGAGGCCATCAGGAGCCGAGAATAGGCACAGGGCTGCCCGACCCACTGAGCCCGGCGCTCACGGTGGCTCTCACGGGGGAGCACTGCAGCAGGAAGACTTCTCAGGGCCTCGGTCTTCTCTGTAAAGTGGGGGTTGGAGCAGGCAGATGGAGTGGCCGCCTGTGGGTGACCTTCCCCAGCACCAGGGTGGCCCCGTGGCCAAGTCTGGCCAATCAGAGGCTCAGTGACTCACTGGGGGCGGGTGTGTGAGCCAAGCGGGGCCAATGAGAGCCAGCCCTGGGACATCTACAACTGTTGGAGCAGCTCTCTGCCTTCTAGGGCTGACTGAGGGTTGACCTTAAGCGGGAAGGTGCCAGGGGCCCTCGGGGCACCTCACGGAGAGGAGAGTCGGCCTGCAAATGAAGGTCACCTAGAGAGAAGCAGAGCAAGAGACGAAGAGACCCAGAAACCTCATGATGTCAATTGAGCACCTGGCTCCCACTATGCCTGGATTCCATCTTTGGGCTTTTCTAGTGAAGAGTCTCAGTGCTGATGCTGAGACGGGTGTGATTATGAGGTTCTGTAACCCGTGGGGAGATTGTGGTGGGGGCCTTAGTGGTGAGGGTGGGGGGTCAAGTAAGTCATCAGAGAGAGCAAATGCCAGAGAGATCGGGAAGGACCTTGAATGCCACACTCGGGAGCTGTGCTCAGATTTGAGTATCAGCGAGCTCCTTCCCATGGTAGCGGAGGGAGGCCAGGAGGTCAGGGAGGAGAGTGGGGCAAAGGCCGAGGTGGAGGTCACAGGCGCACAGGGAGAGGGAAGACACCTCCCTGGCAGCGTCCTGGCTGATGTCTCCAGGGAACTGCTGCCCTTGTGGCTCTGACCACTGCAGACAGAGGTGACACCGCTCACCTGGGCCTCAGGTCAAAAGGACAGATGCGCCCAGGCCGGAAAGGCAGTGCCTCCATTATAGTGCTGTCACCAAGGTGGGGCGGGCCCATGGGGTCAAATCCCAGCTTTGTCATTTCTGGCTCTGTAACCTTGGACGAGCCACTTGACACCTGTGCCTCAGTATCCCCAAGTGTAAATGGGGAGAGTAACAGTACCCAACAACAGGGTTGTTGTGAGGATTAAATGAGAAAGGGCATAGAAAGAACTTCGAGCAGAGCCTGGCCCAGAGGAGGCTCTCAACAGCCACCAGCTGTGATGACGGTGAGTGCCATTGTCACCTGGTGGTTTGGGCTGGGCCCCGGGGACTCATTTTTGCCTCTTGCCATGGTGGCGACTTGGACTCTTCCGAGCCCCGGGAAGCAGGGTCAGGGGCTCTGCCGTAAACACCGCCTGGGTGCCAATCCCCGTTCGCCTGCTTTCTTCCCTAAGCCTCAGTTTCCTCCTCTGTCCCCGGGGACCACAGTCCCCGCCCTCGGAGCCACTGCCTGAAGACATGTCCAGAGCATGGAAGGGACTGACTGGCGGCCCAGGGCCCCGAGTGCAGGACGACCTGGCCCAGGCCCCCACGAGCTCCCTGCTGTGGGGAACAAGCCCGGCCAGGCTGAGGCCGGAAGACAGAGAGCCCGGGGAGCAATCCCGTCTGCCCTCCCTGGGTCCCAGCCTCAGCCCACCCAGGAATGTGGCAGCTGTGCCCCCACCCCACGTTCCCTGAGCCCCAGGGGCTCACGGGCCAGCGCCCCCTGTCGGGGCCTCGCCTCACCACTGAGGTCTCTCCTCCTGGCCCTCTGCACAGCCCTGCCCCTGGGCCTCGGGCTCTGGACCCTCCGGGGTGAGCTCACGCCCACCAGACCGTCTGCCGGCCGAGCTGAGCAGGACCGGCCTCCCTCCCGCGGGGCTGAGTGCTGCCCTGGGAGCCTCCAGACCGGCCCGTTCCCCTGCCCGGCGGACAGCCAGGGGCCGCTCCACTCCCTGGGCAGGACAACGCCAGGGATCACCCACTCTCCCCAAGCCCTGGGTCTCCGGGAGTGGCAGTCCCAGGGCTCAGCCATCCGGTCCCCTCTCTGGGCAGCAGCTCCGGAGGGGCCGGCGCGTGGCGCCCCATCCCTCTGCCTGCGGGCCCCTTACATACCCGCCTCAGCAGGGGTCTCCCGGCTCAGCCCACACAGCATGTCCGCTATTGTCTGCCCTGCTGCCCACTGACTCCCTCGGGAGCCACGCTGCTCGGCCCTCCGCCCCCCCCCCCGCCCCCCCCCCCCCCCCCAGGGAGGGGCTGCGGGAGGGGAGCTCAGGCTCCCACTGGCTGGGCACCGAGTCCACCCACCGCAGCAGGCGGCTCTCTGCTTAAAGGGGACACAGCCGTCACCAAGGCCGGCTCCGGGCCAGGTCCGACGTCCCCACCCCAACAACCCGGGCGGCACAGGGGAGCTTTAAAGCCAGGCTCTCAGGCAGAGCCCCGGGCCGGTTCCGCTCCCGGCTAGCCCTGGGACTTTGGCAAAAGCTCGCCCTCCCTCGGCATCTGTTGTTCCCTCTGGAAACGGGGACCGGCGCTTTCCAAACTTTATTTCCCTAAGTAGCAGAAGCCAACAGAACCAGGTGACGCGCAGCCTCTCGGGACCCTTTGGACAACATCGGGGGTGTCTCTGCAGGTCTGGGCTTAGAAACCCTGGAGCCTGGAGCCCAGGCCCTTCTCTCGATGCTCCAGCCTCCTCCACTCTGCAGTAGGATGGGGCTCGGGGCAGCTGAGCCTAGCAGCCTGCCACCCGGCTTCTTGTGAAGACAAAGCAAGCCGGAGAGAGGACCTGCCCGTCCCTGGGCTTGACGGGCAGGGGCAGCTGGTCCCAGGTTCCAGCCACAGCTGGCAGGCTGTCCCTTCCCCGTCCCGGCCAGCCTCAGCCCCCACACTCCTGGGTCCTCCACACCAGCTCAGACCTGGCCAGGTCAGTCCTCCTGGACAGCGGGGCTCCCCTTCCACCTGCCCATGAGGAAGGGTGGCCGGCTGCACCCAGCTGCCCCTGCTCCCCACCCCGCCCAGCGTGCTGCCACCACCCCAGGGCCAGACGCCCCAGACGCTGGGGAGAGGGGTGGGGGGCAGTGACACGGAGCACTGAAAGGTAGCTGTCACCACTGGAACAACCACATGGTGCCTCTGGCTGGACGCAGCCGGGAACCAGACCGATGAGGTCTCGCCCGCTTGGGAGCAAGCAAGTCCCCAACTTGTTCTGTGTCCTGTAGCCGGTGGGGATGGGAGGCCTTCTCTGGGTCCCTCCATGGTGACACCCACCGAGGAATGTGGCTCAAGTTTCCCAGGCCACCCCAGGGCAGCTCCTGCCAGCCCAGCACCCGTGGCACCTTCACACAACCTGGGTTCGAGGTCTGGGCGGGGCTACCTGCGCCTCAGCACCTGCAGACTCAAGCCCCTCCCCCCCCTCCTCTTTGGGTGACTGCGGGCATGTCGCACAGGGTCCGTGTTGGCGAGTCTCCCTTGACCAGCAGTAAGGCCAAAGGTCAGAGAGAGATCTGAGGTCTCAGCCACTGCAGGGGTGGTGAGGGCCGGATCAGAGAGGGTGGGCCAGATTTCAGCAGGCACTTACATGGCAGGGAAGGGGTGCAGGCTCTCAAGGTGGCCCCGGTTCCCCAGTCACAGTCAGGGAGAGGTGAGCGTGACTGACCCTCGCCCCCCCAGCCCTGCTTGCCGCATATGCAGCCCCTCCAGGGAGGAGGGGTGGGTGCACAAGGAGTGCTGTCTGCCCCTTCTCGTAAGAAAACATTTGCTCTCCATACAGATGCATTTACAGGAGTGATTAAGATCAGCGATTGGAAACCTCACCACGTTTCTGTCTCTCTCGGCTGCTCCTTTGGAATTTACTTTTGTGGACCAGAAGCTCCTGGAAAGGTCTCGTCGTGGATGACGAGAGAGCTTCCAGACGGTGTTCCTTTGAGCACCTGCCATGCCAGGCACGAGACGTAAGGAGACAGGAGGGAACGGCATCTGCCCTCTGCCCCTCACACACGTTGGCGCATTTTCGTTTGATTTTATCTAGAGGTATGTCCCAAAGCAACCGCCGGTCCATTTTGAACCAGGCAGGGTTTACATAAATAATCCGACACAGAGAGGCTAAGCAACTTGCCCGAGGTCACCCATCTGGCAAGGGTGGAACCAGGCTCATGCCAAGGAGGTCTGGCACCAAGGCTGCTGTGCTTTGTGCCATTTCAGGGGGGTGCGAAGGCATCTGGGAATGCAGAGGAAGGGCTGTTAGCTCTGCCTGGGCTACTGAGGAAGGGTTTTGGAGCCTGACTTTGAAGGGTAAGAAGGAATTAGTCAAGGGGGGGAAAGCCATTGCAGGAGTGTGCATGCACAGATGAAATCCCACGTGACTGGCGAGAAGGAAGGCAATGTGGACAGAGCCAGGCCCTGAGAGCACAACTAAGGTCACGTCTGACCAGCGGCCTCACCCTCCTGGGAGCTTGCCAGAAACGCAGACTCCAGGTGAGGTGCGGAAAGTTTGAGAAGCGCGGCCTGCAGGGGTTTGGCTTTCATCCTGCAGGAAACGGGGAGCCAAGGATGGCTGTAGGGCAAGGAGTGAGAAGACTTTGTTCGGCCCTCAGGCACAGTGCACCAGCTGAGAAGAGAGGATTTTGCCTGGGGGCGGCCCGGAAGGGAGCAGAAGGGCCCCTTCTGGAAGAGGAGCAGGCAGAGCTGCTGCTTGGTCTCCCTCCCAGGACGAGCCGTGCTGTCCAATGCTGCCAGCCTCGGGGCAGCGGAACAGGGGGACAGCTTGCTGGGCATGCAACGTGGCTGGAGGCCAGGCCTGCCAGGCGCCCGGCCGCCAGGGCCTCCTGGGACAGCGTGTGACTGCTCCTCGCGCCAATGCACGATGGCACAGGAAGGGTCGGGGAGGCAGCAGGGCCCCCTGCCATCTGGCTGGCATGGGGATGTTTTGGCGTGCGGGGCTGTCCCTCACACTGCAGGACTCCTGGCCGTCCCCAGCCCCACCCGCCCAGGGCAGTGACCGCCACAGCTGGGAGCTAAGCCCACTGCACAGATGGGAAAGCGGAGGCCCAGAGAGGGCCTTGCGGGGGTGTCTGCCAGCACGGCGTGGGCCCGGACCCAAGCCTCCGTCCTTCCTCTCAGACTTGGGGGCGAGTCCTCACCCCAGGTGGGCCATGCCCGGAGCCAGCCGAGGGGCCCTGAGTGACAGGCAGAAATGAAGTCTGGGTGGGAGGGAGGCAGAGACAGCACTGGGGGACAGGAAAGATGAGCCCTTATTGCTGCAGGCTGTGGGCTGCTTCTCCCTTCCTCCCACCTCACCACCACCCCAGGGGTCAGGCAAGTGCAACCTCCCTGCCCCCCACTAGTCCTCCTCAGACCCTGTGTCTTATCTGCAGGGTGGGAGTTAGCGCCCCCGTTTCACAGATGGGGAAACCGAGGCTTGGTCCGTGACTCCACCAGCCTCAGGCGAGGAGCACCGCGTGGCCCTCCCGGGGGGTGCTGCTCGGCTTTGCCCCGTCTCACCTGCCCTCAGGCAGGCTGGGCAGAGCCTCAGGGGCACAGTCCCCCGTGGGTGGTTCCTGGGCTTCAGGCCCAGACCCTGGAGTGAGAGAACACACAGGGTGATCGGCTGCGTCTCAGGCGGCTGCAAGAGCAAAGCACGGAAGGCGCGTGGACAGACCAGGCAGAGGGAGCCTCCAGAAGGTTAAACAGAGCTGCAGCAGACACTCGAGCCCTCGTAGTTTGCCCACACTGACTCACTTCGTTCCACAGCCCCTCCACGGGGAGAGGAGGAGCCCAGGGCCAGGTCGGGGAAGGCCCTTCTCTCAGCCCTGCAGCGCCAGGGCGGGCCAGGGTCTTAACTGAGGCCATGGATGCGTGGTTTCCTGAGAGACGCCCACATGGCGTGTGGACACAGACTCAGGAGGTCCAGTACTGTCAGACACAGGGACCCACGTGTTCAGAAGGGCTGGAGACCCTGCCTGAGGAGGGTCAAGGTACCACCGGCCCAGGAGCCTGGCCACAGATGGGGTACCCCCCGGGGCCTCCCTGGCGGGCTCCATGCTTCCTGTGACACCTGTAATAGCTCCCTCCTGGAGGAAACGACACAGGAGCACAGCTTTGCAGGGGGACTCTGAGCCTCAGGCTCCTCCTCTAAAATGGGGACAGTGAAGGTATGTCTTCACAGGATTTTGACCAAGAAGCTCAGTGAATGAGCAGAACACCTCGAAAACTACAGAGTGTGGGGTACATGGAGGCAGTCAGCATAATCATAACCCTCCTGTCTTTCTGGCCACTCATACACATACACTCAAGAATATGTACTAAGCACCTGCCACCTGCCAGATGCGAAGCTGGGCTGGAGGTTTCAGCAGTGAACAAGGCAGACAGGTCCTGCCCCCTGGAGCTGCCAGGCTCAGAGAGGGGCAGGGAGTCACCAGAAAACACGCAGACATTAGCAAGGCACCAGGCCAGGATGGTCGGGGGGCGAGGGGTCAGAGAAGAGGGAATAGCCAGGTCTCTCTGAAGTGGATCTGGAATCCAGGAGCCTCCGTTTCCCCATCAAACATCACAACCGCGCTGACAGCAGCCAGCAGGGCACCTCTGGGGAGCTGCGGGTGGGGGAAATCAGAAGCCTGGGGCTGGGATGCGTCTTGATGCCAAACAGGGAGCGAGGGAAGAAGGGGCAGGGCACACGCGGGAGGGAGAGCGGCCCCGGGTCCCCACAGGACCTGGACGACTCACTCGTCCCCGGGGAGGTCCCGAGAGAAATGGTGAGCTCGCGCCTGCCTCTCCCGAAGGGCGGCCATTAGAGACACAGGCAAAACTGAGTGAGGGTGAAGATGAGGGAGACGAGCGTCGTAGCCCGGCTGGGAAGGGGTAAGTCGAGGCAGCCTCGCTGGAGGCACCCGGCCGCATGTGGAGAAACCCTGTGTTTGGCCACTCGGCGTCCCAGCACCTCACTCCTACAGGTATCACAGAGTCATCCCCACCCAGGTCCCCAAGGGGCGTGAACCCTCACCAGTGTTGGTGGGGAAGGTGACCAGGTCTCCGCCCCAGGGGAGGGGACAGGAAGCACGAGGTGGCCACACCCCTCGGCGTGAGACCCAGCAGCGGGGAGCACAGCCACTCGGACAAATCTTGGGCAGCCTGGTGTCAAATAAAGAGAGACAGGAAGAGAGAGAGGCAGGGAGGGAGAGAGAACAAAGTCTTCCCTGAAGCAGCACACATGCACA